CCCCCGCCGTCCCCCCCCCCCCAGCCACTGCCTGAGTGTGCGGAGGGGGGCGGGATGAAGCCCACAATCCTGTGCTCCAAAGGCTGATGCCCTATCCCTCAGTTCACTGGAGATCCCACCCCACCTCCAGCGGGTCCCTACTCCTTCCCAAATGCAGGAGCCAGCTCCAACACTGGGGCAGCCTGTCTTTGCTGTCCTGCTGCTCCCAGCATGGGTGGAACAGGGGCAGGACTCAAGCCCCCAACACTGCGCTCCCCCGGCAAATGCTGTATCCCCTAGTCCACTCCAGAACCCACCCCCACCTCCCTACCTTCAGGGCATTCCCGCCCCACTCCAAACCCCTTGGCCCAAGACCAGAGCCTGCACCCCAACCTCCTACCCCAGCCTGGTGAAAAGTGAGTGAGATTCAAGGAAGAAGGGGGATGGAGTGAGTAGGATGAAGCCTCGGAGAAGGGGTGGAGCGGGGGAAGAAGGAAGCTGGGCAAGGATCTTTGGGTTTGAGGTAGATCTTACATTGCACTTAAATTGAAAAAGCGATCTTGTGATTAAAAAGGTTAAAGACCACTGTAATAAACACTAAACTTTCCAGGGAATTTTAAACAAAATAAAAACTGTAAACCACGGGCCTTGCACATGGCATAGAATCCGACCTGAGGTACTGGGCATTACCAGCTTCCTTCAACATCAGTGGATCCAAGAGTATTCAGCACTAAGCAGAATCATGCCCTTAGAATGTCATACATTGCTATCTAAGCACTTAAGAAAAAGTAATCTTTACCATATGTAGGAGGTTCTTAGAAATTATGGCTAAAGGTTTAATATTATTAACACATCTTTGAGGTACAACTTTGTAGCTAAGCAGAAGACTTATCCACTTGCATTGCAGTTCACTCTACATGTAATGTTGTTTGGGTATGTGTATTCAATAACCCTTTTGAACCATCAGGTTTCAATGCATTGGAAATGCAATATTATTACAGTAATGAACATTAGACCGAATAGCTGTACCACAGAAGGAGATCCACAGGAAGTTGCAATAGGAGGTTTTCTGAGGTCTAAACGACAGGAATTTTGCACCTCTTCTTGTGGGATTTCATTCTCATTCTCACTCTCATTCATGATATTCCTCACCTGGAAAAATTCAAATAGTATTGCCCTAGAAATCAGACTTGTAACACATTTATTGAGAGTCTTATAACATAACTGTTAATTCAAGCAGGCCATTCTAGAACTGTATTGCAAAATATATTCAGGAAAGCAACTTAGGGTATGTCTACACTACCCTCCTATTTCGAAGTAGGAGGGTAATGTAGGCATACCGCACTTGCAAATGAAGCCCGGGATTTGAATTTCCCGGGCTTCATTTGCATAAACTGGGAGCCGCCATTTTTAAATCCTGGCTAGTTCGAACCCCGTGGCGCGGGGGGGCCCCAGGCACGGAGTAGCTAGTTCGGATTAGGCTTCCTAATCCGAACTAGCTGTACTCCTCATTCCATGAGGAGTACATTCCATGAGGAGTACAACTAGTTCAGATTAGGAAGCCTAATCCGAACTAGCTACTCCGTGCCGCGTGTAGCCGCGCGGCACGGGGTTCGAACTAGCCGGGATTTAAAAATGGCGGCTCCCGGTTTATGCAAATTAAGCCCGGGAAATTCAAATCCCAGGCTTCATTTGCAAGTGTGGTATGCCTACATTACCCTCCTACTTCGAAACAGGAGGGTAGTGTAGACATATCCTTAGTTATCTTAATCTAATCTACTGCACTCTCATGAGTTTCTTAAACAAAAGATTTCTCAGAGCCTGCTGTGCACACATCCGGGTAAAGTAATAGCATGTAAATCTTTTGGTAAATGTCTGTTGTGGATATCTACTGGAGACCTCCAACTAAACTGAATCAGTATCTCCACTTTAGTCAGTTAACAGTCTTTATTCAAAGACAAACTTCTCTAGCAATTTTTAACCCTTCCGAATTATTTAAGTCAGTGAAAGGTGGATTAGGTATCATGAAGACTTCCTGACATTGTGCCTGGCAACAGCCAGCTGCACACGTAAAATTCAGAATCAGACATGGACATCTTTAGAACTCAAGGGATAGTCCCAATGGTGGTACATTTGTAGCTAGCAAACTGAGAAGTAATTTAATTTAGAATTAAACAACCACTGCAGTTACTGGAGTCTTCTTTAAAAAGAAACTGGTTCTGTGTTTTCCCATCCGTGCTCTTCCCCTTGCCTCTTTTCTAACTTTTGCTTTCCAAGAGCCATTTTGAATCTTCACATTAACTCCCTGTCCTGTTTTTCATGTTCTTTCTTCACAACAAACAAACAAACAAAAGGGGAGGGGAGATTTTGGGCACACAGTCTCTTTTTCCCTGTGGCAACAACCAGAAATTCAGTGCTGGTCAAAATAATTTTGCAACTGCTTGTAATCTTACGTTTTCCACCTCCTTGAAAACACGGATTAAGTTTTCCCTTAAAACCCCTTTCAGTTCTTCTTCAGTCCAACCTCTTCTCAGAAGTTCCTCAATCAATCCAGGGTATTTTGAAACGTCTTCCAGTCCTTCTGGGAATCTGTAGGAACAACAACAGAATGATGAACCAAATAACCCATCCTTCTGGACGAATAATGTAGAGATGGGTTTTTTAATGATTATGGCAAGGGTTCAGTTACACTGACGAATAAGTCACCAGAGGACTCAATTCTCCTTCCATTATGTCAAAATAAAAAATCCAGCTGACTTCCTTGGGAAAAGTGTTGAGTCTCAGAGCCATCCAAACAAAATTCTTTCTGCATGAATTATCTTTTAGTGGGACTAAACTATGCAGTCTATATTCTGTTCAGACACCAAAGCAGCATGGACAGTATTAAAAACTTCCACTCCTTAATTAATAACTCATCATCCTCTATATACCATTTCTGATGGCCAGGAAAACGTCCATGCAACAGAAGGCTATAGTGCACAATACCTATGACATTTTATACTGTTAAAAAGAGTCTGTATGCATAAGATACAGGAACAATTGACCGTTTTTGTACTATAGTATTCACTTTAAGTCATTTATCAGAATGATATGAGGACAACATCCTAAGAGAAATACCAGTTTTGAGCTCAATGGGAGTTGGGGCAAAGAAAACTCCATTCAACCCTCCAATTTGAAGGGAATACAATAAACAATTTGATGTCTGTTGTGTAATTCCTGTCACCCAAAGGGAGCTAGAAGTAAGCAGATAAGCCTATGCATAACTGGTATTCATCAGTTCTCTCTGTGTATAAGACAATAATCTCCAAGGCTGTGTGTACACTGCACCCATAGCTCGAAATAAGCTATGCAATTTGAGCTACACACATTGCATAGCTTATTTTGAGTCCATTTCAAAATAGCTTATTTTGCAATTTGGCACTGTCTACACAGTACCAAATTTCAAAATAACCCTCTATTCCAAAACATCCCTTACTCCTCGTTGAATGAGATTTACAGGGATGTCGGAATAGCGAGCCCATTATATTTCAAAATAATGGACTTGCTGTTAAGACGTGGGAGAGCTATTTTGGGAGGATATCCTGAAGTAGCGCTGCAGTGTTAACTGTAGCCCAATTGTTAACTGTAGGAGATTCCACTGATAGTTACAGAAAGTCCCTGTGGGCGCAGGCTTTTTTGTGCTCTACACCATCTGAAGGTGCCCAAGTTTCTCTGAAACAAGCAAGGAAGATGGGCAAGATCAAGAGCGAACAGAAGAGGAAAGGAGAAAAACTTAACTGTAAGCAGGAAAGTGCCAAGCAGCCTAGACTGATGCTACAGCGCACGTATTATGATGGGCCACATAATACCCCAACTTCAGGCGTGAGCAGGGGGAGCCATGGTGCAGAGATCAGGTTGTTTGCTTTGAAGAGAAGAGAGGCCTGTTACACAACAGAGTGTTGCCCTCTAAGCCCCTACCTCTCAGGAACCAATGGAAGCCTTAGCCATGCTTCACGTGGTCCTTCCTTGCTTGCTTAGGCAAGGGGAAGAACCATTGTTCAGTACAAATGGGCTCACAAAAGAGCTCACAGTTTGAGGCGGCTTAGCTTTCCTGCCATTAATTGCTGGCACTTGCAAATCCATGACTTCAAAGAGGGCACCTGTCAGGTTAGGAAGACAGTAGGAGGATTGCTGTACGGGCAAGCTCATTTCCACCCCACACCAAATTAAACGTATCTGCCCACTGATCTAGAAGGGAACGATCAAGCCCTTGCTTTTCAAAGTGTGTTTCAAGACAATTTGCTCCAATTGCTGTAGTCTGCCTTTTTCAAAAGAATGGAAAGATTTAAAATGTATAGATTGCTTTACTAACTGATCCACTCCATCGTAGTCACCACCAATTCCAATTGATTTTGAGCCTGCAACTTTCTTTATGTGGTCAAAATGATCTACAAGAAAATACCACAGAAAACAATGTCAAAGCACATGGCAAGAGGAAACTATTTCAGACCCATATTGTATTTCACACAATATTTAGACTTAGCACTAAGCTCACCTAAATATGTGACATCAGAAGATACATTTATAAGACTGGCTAAAAAACTGTGTTGCAAGTGACGGGCCATTGACACTTACTGGTGCTTAACTTGATATTTTGTATTCAGTGCAGTAGCTAGTCATCTTGAAACTAAAATAACTAGACTGATGAAAAGTGATTTGAGGAATATGATTGCCTCACATGCAGGACATTCACTCTCTAGAAACACCTTTATATAGTAATGAAAATTGCATGGCCCATAATATTCCAACATGTCTGGCTTTTTTCTACTCAGGACAGATATGTATTAGACCCAGAAGGATGGCTTAAGGTACATGCAGCGGGAGCATTTGCTTCCCTCGTCTTTTCGTACACCTCATGAGGAGTAGGAGTACCAGCGCCGACAGGGAGCACCTTCAGCATTTGATTTAGCAGGTCCTTGCTCGCTAAATTGAACACCAGAAGATTGATCTCCAGTGCGGCAAGTGGAGCCGTGGACTAGACTATTTACTGTCAGGATTTTTCCTAGAGTAACACCCAGTTAGGGGTTAGTTAACAAACCACTTATTAATGGCTTGTGACTCTCATTAATAGCCTGTGCTCAGTAAATGTAAACTCTAAAAACAATCAGATTTACATCTGCAGTCTAAAGAGATGTGTGGTACCAGTCAATACATGGCTGTTACGTACACAATGGGGGGTTGAGCAAAGGTTTACATTACAACAACAAAGAGTCATCCTTGAAATGTAGCTCAGACATGGAGAAATTTAAAGAAGGAATTATTATTCAGAACTGCAATGTATTAGATTCAAACCTGCAACAGTTGAAATATTCACAATCTCTCTTCCACAGGCCACCACCTTTGAATAGAAAGTCACCATCACAATTCCATTTTTTATTTTCTGAAAGACAGAGGGACATTTTGTGAGCAGGTATTCATGGGCTCTGTGTAATGGTCACTCTCAAGGGATGATCACAACTCCATCTAGAGTCCATCAATACATTTTACATGTGAAGGGCAGTTGAGAAAATAAGCTGCTGCCTTCCTACCCCTTATCCACTCCTAATTTGGTGTAAATCAGCATAACTCCATTTACTATAGTGATCATTTTAAATCAATTCAACGTCCTCTCATCTCAAGAATTTATTTTCAACGTACCAGCAATCATTGCAACTTTGCACTCGTACTGAATATAACCCAAAACCACAGCCTCGAGGAGCAAATGCTTAACTTATTGCTTAGAATCTGGAAAATCTTTAAAAAACAACAAATAGTCTAGCAGCACCTTAAAGACTAATAAAACACATAGATGGTATCATGAGCTTCTGTGTGCACAATCCACTGCATGTTTTGTTAGTCTTTAAGGTGCTGCTACACTATTCATTGTTTTTCAAGTTATTCCAGCTTACCCCCCTGATGCCTAGAATCTGCTTACGACTATTAGTGAATTGACTTCAGAGATGACTGGAAGAGAAGTACATATTGAATCCTCTATGCATGGGATTGTCTTGGGCCAGCCAGAGGAGTGAAATTTTTTCAAGTCACTCACCAAAGTCTGAAGAATATCATCAGGAACATTTCTTGAATGGTTACAAACAGAGAAGGATGAAGAATGACTAAAAATGACTGGTGCTCTGGAGATATTAAGAACCATTTTTGCTGTGGAGTCTGATGTATGGGATAAATCTATCATCATCCCCAATCGATTCATTTCCATCACCACTTCCTAACACAGATTTACAGACAGCAGTATTAGTATTGCATTCTTTTAGAAGAGAGGAGTTAAACAGCTATATGTGACTAAATACACTGTACATACATTCTGCAGCTGTCATAAAAGTGAGTATGAGTCTCTACTTGAGTATTTTTTGTGGCTAGCACAGGCTTCCTAATAGTTTCTCTAATGGGGATACATTCACACATCATGGAGTCTCCTTCTCAATGTTAACAGCAGCTATGAAGTTTTTAAAAGCTCAGACATATATAATATACACATCTTGAAAATTCACTATATATTGTGTACTTCACACTGCAAAAGCGCATCGGAAAAGCAATTTTTGTGCAAGAGAGTGTCCAGACTGTATGGACGCTCTCTCACAAGAAAGCTCTGATTGCCATTAAAAGAATGGCCACCAGGGCACCTGTGCTTCTGTTTTTGCACAAAAAATCCATTTCCCATCCACACTCATCTTTTTGCCCAGCTTTGCTAGGAAGCTGCTGCCTTGCACCAGGCAGTGTGTGGCTGGAAGAGGAGAGGTGCTGGCCTTGCCCTTTTCTCTTTCCACCAAGGCCAGGAGGAGCACTTGACCCTTTGTGCTCCTCCCACCTGTCTTGCAAGCTATAATCTCAGGTCCTGAGGAATCCTGCCCTCTGACCTTCTACATAGCCCATTCTGAGAAAGTGATACAGAAATCCTTTCTGTAGGATGGGGAAAAGTCTACAGAATTGTATAGTAAGAACACAGTTTTTATTACATGCAACAGGACTAGACAGAGTCACATTCTCTTCATATATTTTACTCTCTCACTACTATTAAGTTCTGAATCCCCTCTTCCAAGCCCATCTACAATTTATAGTAATTAAATCTCTTAAGACAAATTGCCTTTAAAAAAAATCAGAATCTCTGAGGTCGTTAATGATAGAAAAGTTTGCTTAGATTGCCATGGAGGAGCGATTCTTACTTTGCCAAATGAACTCAGCCCAGTCACATAAGGATAAAAGTTATGTACGCCCTTTGATGAAGATTCTGCCCTTCAAAAAGAAAAGATGTAGACACCGTTGCATTATTCTAGTGGACTAGATCCAAACAATCACATTTCACATGAACACAGTAAAAAGCCCTCTCCCTGAAGTCATATGAGAGCATGACGTCACTGTCATTCGTGCAATGACATTCTTGTGTCATGAATCTCACTTTTAGGCATTACTCGGCCCAGTCAGAACAGTTCCCATGGGCGAGGCAGTTGGAGGCAGTGCATGCTGTCTAATGCTGCATCACTTCTAGGGCTCACTAGCAGAAGTCAGGGCTATCAATTGGGTATCTTTCACTAAAACTAGGCTCGCTCTTAAAATTGCACTCACACCATCTGACAGGGCAATTTGGGTGAAAAGGAAAAGGAATTACAGCAAGGAATAGTGGGGTGATTCTTAGGTCTGGGTGAGGCATGGGAACAGGTTACTTTTTAAATGACTTATTTCTGGTGGTATTGCAGCAGAAAGCGGGTCTTTAGAATGAATCAGAGCGTAGTGGTCTTCCAGAGCAATTCAAGAAAGACAATCCATGGACCTGGAGACAGTGCAGAAAGATATGACAGTGGCTCTGTAAGAAGTGGACATGAGAAACTGGAGCGCAAGACTAGACAAGTAGTCAGGAACAGTTATGCAGGGCCATTTCCTACTGTTAGCTCTTCACCCCTGTGTGGGACTCAGCGATTAGCAGTATGATTTGCAGGCTTTGGGAGTAAGGTCATCAGTTTGAACCCAGCATAGAATGTTATTGCTCAAAAGCGGCTGGTGGAAAGAACTGGTACAGTGCAAGTCCCAGAGCTGGATGTCTACATCACAAATACCTCAGTTAAGAGTCCCTCTAAGACTAGATGGCTGTGTCTACATTGGCCCCTATTCCGTAATAGGGATGCAAATGTAGCACTTTGGAATAGGCAAATCCGCGGGGGATTTAAATATCCCCCGCGGCATTTGCATTTTCATGGCTGCCGCTTTTTTCCGGCTTGTAGATAAGCCTACACAGCAGGGCTTAACTCGAAATAGGCTACGTAAATTGAGCTACATCAATGGAACAGCTTATTTCAAAATTGGGAGCTTCTACTGAGGACTTATTTCGAAACAGAGCACTCTTCCTCCGACTTCCCTTACTCCTCATACAATGAGGCTTGAAAGTAGGAATAAGAGATCCTCTGGAAAAGGGTTTATTTTCTGGAGAATCACGTCTAGACTGGCACTTTTCTCCGGCTTATTCCCAAGCCGGAAAAAAGCGGCAGCCATGCAAATGCAAATGCCGCGGGGGATATTTAAATCCCCCGCGGATTTGCCTATTCCAAAGTGCTACATTTGCATCCCTATTACGGAATAGGGGCCAATGTAGACACAGCCGATGTGTGTGAACCCCTCTCACACCAAGACAAGTGCAGCAATCGGAAGGAGACTTGCAATGACATTTTCCCTGCTGCACAATTCTGTGGAGAGAGGCTGACCCTATAAAAATCTGCAGAAAGAGGAAGCAGGGTGTCATTTCAGATTTTGGTGGGGTGGGGGGGTGACTTGTGCATGCCACAATAGTAGGGAGCAAGTCAGGGCATCAAGAGATATGCAGGGGAAGATTGAGCAAAGAAGCTTCAGCAGTGGAATACTGAGTATGCTCAGTACAAGCCAAGCAGAACATTGGGATCAGGGGGCTGATCCTGTCCACCTTCCCAAACATCACATCTTTCCAGGACCTGCTAGGAAGTTTTAAGGCACTTGAAAACTCTAGGTTTTGGAAGATAATGTAGCCATTAGCTGGCAGGAGCACTGTATCTAATTCCTATGTAAAAGAAACAAAAATGAATAAATATTAGCTCCACTCAGTTCTAACATTAACATGTTTCGATACGTTGTGGCAGGTCACTTAAGGGACACAATTTAAGCTTAAAATGTTCATGTACATTCTTATTTTGTTACTAACTCCGCAGAGAGAGAGAGACTGTCAGGACTCCTGGGCTCTATCTCAGCTGTGGAAGTGGAGTGGGGTCTGGTGGGTTACAGCAGGGCACAGATACATCTGGATTCTAGATAAGAACATCAGGACGGCCATACTGAGTAAGACCAATGGTCCATTTAGCTCAGTATCCTGTCTTTCTATAGTAGCCAATGCCAGGTGCTTCAGAAGGAATACACAGAAGAGGCAATCATCAAGTGACCCATTCCTCTTTGCTCATTTCTAGCTTCTGGAGTTTCTGGCAAACAGAAGCAAGGGACACCATCCCTGCCCATCCTGAGCCACTGATGGACCTAGCCTCCCTGAACTTATTTCATTCTTATTGGGACCCTGTTATGGTTTGGGCCTTTCCACCATCTCCTGGCAAAGAGTTCTACAGGTTGACTGAGGAAATAACATCTGTTGTTTGTTTTAAATCTGCTGCCTATACATTTAATTGGGTCAGCATCTTGTGCTATATTAAAGGAGTAGATAACATTTTCTGATTCAATTTTTTCACTCCATTCATGATTTTCTAGAAGTCTACCGTATCTCCCCACCCAGGAGTCATTTCTTTTCCAAGGCATTGTAATTTCTCCTCACATGGAAGTTGTGCCTTACCCCTAATCATTTCTGTTGCCCTTCTCTGTATCTTTTCCAAATCTGTATCAGGGATCTCAAGCTCCTAGCCTATAGGCTCTCCCCAGTCAGAGCAGTGGCACAATCAGGCATGGGAATACCAGCAGGCTGTGAGGAGGGGGAGTCTATCTGTTCCTATCACTCCAGCCCCATCCTTATCCACCATTGCCCTGCCCTCTTCCCCCCACAGTACCCCAGCCTCTGAGGGACGTGGCCTAAGAGTTAACAGGGGAGGGCAGTGCTACGTGGCCTCCCGCACGAGCATGGGGAAGTGGAGTGGAGTGAAGTGGGGAGTGGGGGGAGGGGTGACCACTGCTGCCACACTGCACCAGGCCCCCCTGGTAATCCCAAAGGCCACATCCTTGGGGGACAGGGTGCTATGCGCGGAGAAGGTAGGGCAATGGTGGGAATGAGAGGCCTGTGCCATGGAATAGACAGGCCTTCCCCTCGTGGCCTGCCAGTACTTCTAGGCCAGTCTGCACAACTGTTTTGGCTGGGGATGGCCTGTAGGCTGGCAGACCCCCAGCTTTTATAGAGGGGATATAATATTTTCAGTCATATTATCTATTCCTTTGCTAATGATTCCCAGTGTTCTGTTAGCTTTTTAGATTGCTACTGCACTCATCATAATGCACTTTCACTGGGCAGATGTTTTCAGGTCACTATCCACAATGACTCCAAGAGCTCTTTCTTGAGTGGTAACAGCTACTTTAAACCCACTGTTTTGTATGTACAGTTGGGATTATAATTTTCCATGTGCATTACTTTGCATTTATTAACACTGAATTCCATCTGACATAGTTTTGACCAATCACACAGTTTTGTGAGATCCCTTTACAATTCTTTGCTGTCAGCTTTGGACTTTTGAATAATTTTGAATCATCTGCTAATTTTCCACTTCACTCTTTACCCCTTTTTCAATATTATTTATTAATAAGATGAACAATGCTGGTCTCAGTACAGACCCCGGGAGCACACCACTATTTATTCCTGCCTGGAAATGTTTATTTCTATTTATTCCTACATGGCAACGTTTTCATGATTATGTAATGATCCTTCAATTACTTAAATGACAAGCCTTTGGTTATCTTAATCACCTGCCTCTCTCTGCTTAAAAACAAACTAAGCCCTTGGTGGAGAAAGAACAGGGTAAGAACTATTTAGAAAAGCTAGACATACACAAATCCATGGGTCCAGATTTAATGCATCTGAGGGTACTGAGGGAGTTGGCAAATGTCTTTACAGAGCCTTTGGCCATTATCTTTGAAAATTCGTGGAGATTGGGACAGATCCCAGATGATTAGAAAAAGGCAAATGTAGTGGAAAAAGGACGATCCAGGGAACTACAGACCATTTAGTCTTAAATCAGTCCCCAGAAAAATAATGGAGGGGATTCTCAAGGAATCCAATTTGAAGCACTTGGAAGAGGGGAAAGTGATCAGGAATAGTCAACATGGATTCACCAAGGGCAAGTCATGCCTGACCAATCTGACCAGCTTCTATGATGAGGTAACTGTCTCTTTGGATATGGGAAAGTCAGTGGATGTGATATACCTTGACCTTAGCAAAGCTTTTGATACCGTCTCCCACAATATTCTTGCCAGCAAGTTAAGGGAATATGGATTGGATAAATGGATTGTAAGATGGATAAAAATCTGGCTAGACTGTCGGGGCCAACTGGTGGTGATTAACGGCTCGATGTTAGGTTGGTGGTCAGTTTCTAGAGGAGTGTCCCAAAGATCAGCTCTGGAGCCAGTTTTGTTCAACATCTTTATTAATTACCTGGATGAGGGGATGGATTGCACCCTCAGCAAATTTGCAGATGACATTAAGCTTGGGAGAGAGGTAGATATGCTGGAGGACAGGGATAGGGTCCAAAGTGACCTAGACAGATTAGAGGATTGGGCCAAAGGAAATCTGATGAGGTTCAACGAGGACAAGTGTAGAGACCTGCACTTGGGATGGAAGAATCCCAAACATTGTTACAGGCTGGGGACCAAATGGCTAAGTACAAGTTCAGCAGAAAAGGACCTGGGGATTACAGTGGATGAGAACCTGGATAGGAGTCAACAATTGCCCTTGTAGCCAAGAAGGCGAATGGATTATTAGGTTGCATTAGGAGGAGCATTGCCAGCAGATCTAGAGAAGTTATTATTCCCCTTTATTTGGCTTTGGTGAGGCCACATCTGGAGTATTGCATTAAGAGTTGTGTCTGTGGCTAGGGAATGTGCTTTAAGCAGACCTCAAGTATGAAATTCAGGGGGTCAAATTTCAGGGGGGAATACAGCCTCTCTAGCCCCCCATAATGGGCACCCCTGTGAGGAAGGGCTCTCTGAAAGACTTAAAGGCTGATGTATAACTAACTGTAATTTAGATAATGGCATAGCGAGGATGCTTATAAAGTTTGAGGATGAATCCAGCCCGGAGGGGTTACAAGTAATTTGAATGATAGGGTCATAATTCAAAATGATCTGCACAAACTGGAGAAATTGTCTAAGGTAAACAGGATGAAATTCAATAAGGACAAGTGCAAAGTATCACATTTAGGGAGGAATAATCAGTTTAACACATACAATATGGGAAGCTACTGTCTAGGAAGGAGTACTGCAGAAAGGGATCATAGTGAACCACAAGCTAAATATGAGTCAACAGTGTGACGCTGTTGCAAAAAAAAGTAGATATGATTCTGGGATGCATTAGCAGGAGTGTTGTGAGCAAGACATGAGAAGTTGCTCTTCCACTCTACTCTGTACCTATTAGGCCTCAGTTGGAGTATTTTGTCCAGTTCTGGACACCACAGTTCAAGAAAGAGGTGGAGAAACTGGAGAAGGTCCAGAGAAGAGCAATAAAAATGATTAAAGGTCTAGAAAACATGACCTATGAGGGAAGACTTGGGTTTGTATAGTTTGGAAAAGAGAAGACTGAGCTAGATAAATTCATGGAGATTAGGTCCATCAGTGGCTATTAGCCAGGTTGGGTAGGGGTAGGGGTGTTTGTCAGAGGCTGGAAATGGGTGACAACAGAGGGATCACTTGATAATTTCCTGTTCTGTTCACACCCTCTGGAGCATCTGGCATTGGCCAATGTTGGAAGACACGATACTGGACTCAATGGACCTTTAGTCTGACCCAATATGACCCTTCTTATGACTGAGAGGGGACATAATATTAGCTTTCAAGTACCTAAAAAGTTGTTATAAGGAGGAGGGAGAAAAATTATTCTCTTTAAGTTTTGATGATAGGACATGAAGCAATGGACTTAAATTGTAGCAAAGAAAGTTTAGGTTGGACATCAGGAAAATCTTCCTGTCAGGATAATTAAACATTGGAGTAAATTGCCCATGGAGGTTGCGGAATCTTTATTATTGGAGATGTTCAAGAGCAGGTTAGATAGACATCTGTCAGGGATGATCTAGATGGTGCTTAGTCCTGCCGTGAGGGCCGGGGACCAGACTTAATGACCTTTCCAGGTCCCTTCCAGTTCTAGTATTCTATGAGTCTATGGGATGAAAAAGCATTGCTCATCACCACTAGTGTGGCAGAGGGAAGCATGACAGCAAAGTCTTCAAGGAGGTGGATCAATCAGTGTCTTACAGGGAGTTTGGGATCCTTCCTTTGCTGGGTATGTAGAGGAGGGTGTGGTTGGTCAGCAGGGAGAGGCCATAGGTGTGTCACTGAGATGTCAAGTAGCAGAGAGATTCTCCTTCATTAATCCCCCATGTAACAAGCTGACCTGTCTAAAGGACCCAGCCACTCCTCCACCACTAGTCACACATAGCAGTATCCCCACATTTTTTCAAACCAACTTTGACCCATTTAAAGCTGTCATCCCTTTGCTCTGGAAAAGAGTTACGTAAACAAGTACACATCAGTTACCATGGAGTATTGCAGGTGTGTGTTAAAGACATGTACCGAACACCCAGGTCATAATAGATCCTTAGTGTTGCGAGACTGCTGTCAATGGAATGGCCACCTTCTATTCCAATCAAGCAGGCTATCTTTTTACTATCAGCAATACCTGGAGTGTAAAAGGAAGATAAATGCCACAGTAAATTGAAGCCAAAGACTTTGAGCTATCTGCATTGAGCAGCAATCATTCCACAACCATAAATGCCAATGCTCACATTTTTAATTATTTTGAATGTGTGATATGTCAAGTACTTCATCTCACATATATTCTCTCCTTCAATCTTATTAAAGAAACATTTTCATAATAAAAAGTTTCACCTTGAGAAGTAGTAACAAATTCAAATTCTTGATATCTTTGACACATCCTCTTGACAACATCGATCTGCTCTAGGGTCAGACGCACAGCATCCTTGTTCTGAGCATTACACAGAACATACACTGACCAAAACTGGAAAAGAGACATTGATAGATAGGCCAAACAACAAGTTCATGAACATCATTATCAGCAAAAAGATGAGAACCCTAAAAAAATCACTTCTTCCTTGTCAATTTGTTGGGAATTTTTCATCACTAGGATATCTCAAAGGAACATCTAATCTGACTAGGAACACACTGATAAAAGGCACCCTCAGTCACTGACACAATCTTTCAAGGACAGGAGGAGAAGACAACTTTTTAATTCAGTTGCTGTAAAAAAAATACATAACACTTTGGATGAGTGGAGCTGAATTCTACAAAGACATCTGAAGTGTAGTGAATCAAATTATATTAAAGTTTCTGTAGCTATGCAGTTTTCCCTTCTTTTTATTATGGGCTGAATCAAAATCCCAGATCTGAACCATCTCTTCTAAACTATGGCTTACCCAAAACCTGGACATGGATCTGGATTTTGCTCCACTCCATTTGTAGAACAAGAAGTATAAATACTCTCTCTAAGGGCATGCCTACACTAGGGAATTATTTTGAAACAGCTCCACTTATTTTGAAATAACAAGGTGAGCCTTCACACTACCAAGCCTTATTTTAAAATAATAACTCCCGCTTGTGAAGAGGAATAAGCTTATTTTGAAATAGTTATTTCAGGAGTTATTATGAAATAACCTGGTAGCGCAGACATAGCCTCAGAGATCCAGGTCATAGCACCAACACTACGTACCTGAGCTCCAACGTGGCCATTCTGAAGTTTCTGGATGTTTGTGACTGTGGTGTTGAGGGTTTTTAAGTTGATTTTACTTAGTCTGTTTTTGTACAATATCCTCAGTCGTAAGGGAAGGTCATTGTGCCTAAAAAATAAATAGCATTAATGATACAAAATTTGACCTTTCCTTTACAAAATGTTTATTCAGCTATTTTTACGTTCCCCTTGAACGTTAACTGTCAACATCCTTGCCACAGTTTTCTAGGGGGCAGAGAGGTTGCAAACCCAGCAAAAAAATTAATCAAGTTGGCTGGCTGAGAGATACACTTTAAGCACCCACTTTTCTCAAACCACTATAAGCGTGGCCTCACAGTGAGGTTTGCTTCAGAGCCTCACTCTCTGTAAAAATTTCATTCCTCACAGATCTTTTGTTCTGCTGTCCTGACGGATTTCCCCCTTTTACTCCTTGATGCTGAAGTCTCTCTCCTAAACTCCTCTTTTTACCCAATTCTTCTAGCTCTATTCTCATCTCTACTCTTTCTGTTCACATGTTGGAACTGCAAATAGCAGCCATACTAGCTTGGTCTTAGATTTTTTATTTTGATTAAGTTTGATTTTAGAATTTTACTTGAGTTACTGAGCAATAGTATTTGAGTGACCCCTTTCCTTTATGTTACATCATTCCTTGAGCTGCCTGAGCATCCTGTCATGTCATGCTGCCTGCTTACCAAACATAGGCAAAAGGAAGTGAAGTTACAGCTGAAGAAGGGTACTTTTAAAAGGAGACGGTAGAATTGCATAATGTGAAAGTAGATAAACACCGGACTGCCCCCTCAAGGCTAATACAACTTGGTCCAAAGAAGTTTATAATTAGCCTCTGAATTCATATTGAAAATGTCTTCAGGCTGACACGAGACAGAAATGCTATGCCACAGGTGTTGCTTATAGCTCTGGTCTTCAACATGTGTTTCTGCCTTCTCCTCAATTTCTAAGATCCACTGACATGTAAGAGTGGCCAGGCCTCTGCCTTCAGAGCCCAGTTTGAAATCAGAACTGGTTGGCCCTTGGTATGGTATATGGGAGGGGTGTGTGATGGGCTGGGTCACAGAAATCCTCTTGGGTTTGTGCCTGGTGTGCGGATCAAAACACCGATGCCCACCTTCCCACTCTCTGGGGCTCCCCACCACCCTGTCCTGCTGGACCAGAAGCTCTGGTCTCCCCCAGCCCAGGCACAGAGTTGGGGATACTGCCCCATAGCAGAGCAACACAGACATGGAACCAGCTTAGCTCTGAAAGGGCTCAACTATAAGGGCTCAGCACCCAGGAACACAGACTCCAAAGAGTACCAAAATCTCCAATAAATCTGTCTTACAAGACAAACCAAACTATTCACAAGTTGTTGGTTTGAGTACTGAGTTGTAAGTTCCTAAAGTATCACTAATGGCCCTCATTTGCATATTTAGAATTGAAACCAGATTCACATTTCATATATCTAATTTCACACACACATAGTAGACTTGTGGCACCTTGGAGCAGGGGTTGGCACTCACTTCAGAGCTCTCTTTGGCTCACTTAGGAGCTAAATATGGTTCATGGCTTGAGCTCAGTCTCCCCTCACTCCCCTTCTCCGGAACAAGGAGCCCATGCTTGGCGCTACAGCCTAATGCCCTTCTCAAGATTGGAGCCAGCGCTTGCTTGCTGCAGGGCTGGTGGGTGGAGAAATCCCTGAGCCTCATTGCGCGACTGGGGAAAAGCCAGAACTACAAACGGCCCTGTGCATGCGCGCTTCCCTTCCCCCTTTCCCGGCTGGAGGAACAAAGCAGCCACAGGCATACTGCCTGCAGGCTTTTCCCCCTGCTCCATTGCCCAGAATCTGACCAATAGAGTAGCGGGAAGCCATGCCTGGGACAGGAAGCCTGAGAGCGCAAAACCAGACCCAGCAGCCATCGTGGCCGTGAAGGACTTCCTCCTGCCATGGCCATGCTCCCGCTGCTCTGCGCACTGCTCCGCTCCTGCCTCAGGCCGCCTGCATGTGCCATGCTCTCACACCCAGCAGAGAACCCCATGGGGCCACTGGAGTCTGTTATTGGCCTGGGCACCTTCTTCCTGGTACCTGCAGGCTGGATCCTAGCCATCCTGCCCAGATCTACCCAGCTGGACTCCCTGCGCTTCTGGAAAGGCACGCCCTCCATTCCACACTCGGCCCGTGGCTGCTAACTTATTCCGTGACCTGCACGGAGCAGCAGCTGGTTGCCACGTGGGAGTGACTGTTACAATGAATAAGCACTGTTACAGACATCAGGGAAAAAAAGTAAGTGCTGCCCAGACGCTGCACCACAACCCTCTCCTACCCTGGCCAGACACCTGCCCACAGCCTGCTCCTGCACCTTCCCCCCTGGCCAGACACCTGCCCACAGCCTGCTCCTGCACCTTACTTCTCACCCAGATCCAGCACCCCCATCCCTAGTCCACTCACTGGCTGCTATGTCCTGCACACTGGATGCCTCATTTTTAGCCCCATTCCGGAGCCTAGGGAGGCTCCACAAAATCCACTAACCCTTGAACCCCACAAGAGTTAATCTGGCCTGAGACCTTGAACCTTAGTCTTCCCTGCCCCTCCCCCTCCCATGGGGCTGGAGCACCAGGGGAGTGAGGTGTCTCAGTTGGGAGCGAGGGTTGGGGGTATTTGGAGTTGTTTTTTGGCTTCTCACTTGTGTGGTCCCTGACTGATTTTTCTGTGGGTCAATGGCCTGTGACCCAAAAAAGGTTCCCCACTCCACCATACATAAAGACAACGGCGAAACCTTTTGTGTTGGGCATAATATTTTACTTTATTTTAAAATGAAGCCTGGCCAACAAGCCCCCAATTGGGGCTCAGCCCCCATATGGTCACAGTGTCATAATACTCCCACACGGCAGCCCTGAGCCCATCGTACACCTAAACCCCCTGCCATGAGCCCCTCATACCTTCACATCCCCATATCCCCAGACTCCTGCACTCCCACTTCTCCAGCCAGCTGCCACAAGACTGACAGAAGACAGCCTGAAAGTGTGCATGAACCTCGATTTGACCAGTTAGGATGTAAACGTCAAAGAAATGTGCAAAAAGATGCAGCAGCAGAAGTCCCATTAAATAAAGTCTGTGAGTACAATGTTTCATTTATGCTATTACTAGTTGCTGTTACCTGCGTTGCTCGGGAAACTGGAAGAACAAAATGTAGAAAAACAGTAGTCCATTCTCTTTTTTGGAATGGGAGAAAAGTTGCACTGATTTCTATAGGGATTAAAATATAGGTCCGCGTCATCCCCGGGGGGGAGGGAGGTTACACACACAGGAGGGGCGCCCCAGCTTACTCCTGGGGCTGCAGGTGCAGCAGGGGTGCCTGAACTGTTGTGCACGTGGGGGTCAGGGCACTGCATGCTGGCATGGGGAGGGGAGAGGGAAAGAGGGTGAGTCCCGGACAGCGCTGGGGGCTACAGGCGGCGGGCACGGGACCTAAGGGGGGTGGGAATGCCCATGCAGCACAGTGGGTTACTTTTTAATTTTTACAGCTTGAGCTTGGGCCCGATCGGGTCCAAAAGTACCTTAAAACCTTCTCCTGGATGAAAGGTTATCCTATGCAAAGTTTGGTTGCAGTAGCTCTTATAGTGTCCAAGTTATTAGTGCACAAACTTACAAACATTCTCCTTTGTATATTAGATGAATCATTATGTCAATTATCAATATATTAATTTGTATATTTTTAGACATTCTTATACAGCTTTTTCTTGACCACTTGTTCTGAATTTTAATGTAGTCTGGCACCTTGGTTTGAAAAGGTTGCTGACCAACAGCATCTCACCTGTAAATGTGGGTTTTGCCTACAAAAGCTTTTACCATCATAGGTTGGCAGCGAGAGGCTGGCCCCAGTGGTGTCCTGGGTGAGAGGGGCCCTTTCTACAACATATATAGTGACAGGGAAGGTTAAAAGGCTTGTTAAAGGGGAAAGAGGCAGCCATTACAAGAGGAACAGCAATGGCCTTAGCTAATTAGGGGCAGCTGAGACAGGGTGGCTACAAATTAATTAAGAGCCAGGTGAGCTGAAGCAGGCTGCCACAGGGCCTCTTTAAAAGCTTTCTCTAGGGGGCAAGACTGGGGGAGAGAGTGTGAGTGTGGAGAGTAACAAGCAACCAGGTGATAAGGAGATGAAGAGGAGTGGATCAGGAGGAACCACCAGCCCTGCTAAAGGCTACACGGGGAGGTGAGGTGCTTGAGCAGGGAGTGTTGAAAGGCTCCCTATACCCAAGGGGCTAGAGGAGGACTTACTACTCAGTGCTGATTGGCCCAGGACTTTAGCCCAACCCTCCATTGTTTATGCTGAGGGACAGAAGGTCCAGTGCTAAAACTGTGCTAGTGAGTCTCATGCTGTGGTCCTAAATCTGTGGGGGTATGTCTACACTACCCTCCTAGTTCGAACTAGGAGGGTAGTGTAGACATACCCCCACAGATTTAGGACCACAGCATGAGACTCACTAGCACAGTTTTAGCACTGGACCTTCTGTCCCTCAGCATAAACAATGGAGGGTTGGGCTAAAGTCCTGGGCCAATCAGCACTGAGTAGTAAGTCCTCCTCTAGCCCCTTGGGTATAGGGAGCCTTTCAACACTCCCTGCTCAAGCACCTCACCTCCCCGTGTAGCCTTTAGCAGGGCTGGTGGTTCCTCCTGATCCACTCCTCTTCATCTCCTTATCACCTGGTTGCTTGTTACTCTCCACACTCACACTCTCTCCCCCAGTCTTGCCCCCTAGAGAAAGCTTTTAAAGAGGCCCTGTGGCAGCCTGCTTCAGCTCACCTGGCTCTTAATTAATTTGTAGCCACCCTGTCTCAGCTGCCCCTAATTAGCTAAGGCCATTGCTGTTCCTCTTGTAATGGCTGCCTCTTTCCCCTTTAACAAGCCTTTTAACCTTCCCTGTCACTATATATGTTGTAGAAAGGGCCCCTCTCACCCAGGACACCACTGGGGCCAGCCTCTCGCTGCCAACCCCAGAGATTGGGGTTTTCAGCAGGTCTCTGTGGTAGGGAGCTCGGTCACACCTCCTGGGACTCCCTCCCTGGCTGTTTCTGTTCTAATGTTGGCATGAATTGCTCTCTAACTTTTTTTTTGTCTCTCCTTTACCTCTCTTCCATCCTCTCACTCTCCCATCTCCAGCTTTCAACTGCTGAGGCTTTTAAAGGCCTTCAGCCAGCTAGCAGAGGAGTCAGCTGGCCCCAATCTGCCTGAGCCAGCTCCCTCCCAGCTGCATCTAATTGTCCTGAAACCCTCTGCTTCTAATTATAGGTTTTTTACCTTTTTTGGGCTGCCTCTTCCCACCTTTGCAACAGCTCTTTAGCCTGACCCTGCCACACATCCCCCTCCCCTGCTCAACACCACAGAGTTGGGCTACTTGGGTCGGGAAACTCTGCACCCTCGACAACCCATCTGCGTTCCCATGGTGGGTTCCCGATCTGTGTTGCACCCGGAAGTGGAAGGGCTACAGGAACAGAAACAACTAGGTTATCCTCACATTCTTGTCCTTGTTTCAGTGCATCCATTGCAGGGGTGCGTGATCGGTGACAAGAAATAACTTGGTATTGTGGACACACCACTTGTTATTTCAACCTAAGGGGGGTTATTTTGAAATAACTCCCTAGTGTACACCATGACTAAGGTGCCACAGAACTACTCATTTTAAAAGTTACAGACTGACACGTCTACCCAATGACACTTTTTTCACATATTCTTATACATGCGTAAAATAGAACATGTAGATTCAGCAGATTGTGCCTTTAAAAGTCATGTTACGTAACAGGCTTTTGTAAAAAGCATCTTCAAGTTATGCATATTCATAAGCCAATTTTCATAAAGCATGGCAGGAGGTAAAGGGTGACAGGGTGAATTAAAGGTTTTTGGCCAGTTTCAGGTCTCTGATATAATTAATCTCTAAACAAAATATATTACGTATAATTTAGCATTTCCCCCTAAGCCCTACCCTTAGTCTACTAGCTACATAACTTAGGCTTGATCACTCTATCTAAGTACATTGAGTATATTGAGTACATAAGGATTCCTTGGCTGCATCTAGACTGGCATGATTTTGCGCAAATACTTTTAACAGAAAAGTTTTTCCGTTAAAAGTATTTGCGCAAGAGAGCTTCTATACTGGCATGTGCCTTTGTGCAAAAGATTTGCTTTTGCACAAAAACATCCATGCTAGTGTACACGCTCTCTTGCGCAAGAAAGCTCCGATGGCCATTTTAGCCATCGGGATTTCTTGCGCAAGAAATGAACATTCCTGTCTACACTGGCCCTTTTGCACAAGAATTCTTGAGCAAGAGGGCTTATGCCTGAGCGGGAGCATCAAAGTATTTGCGCATGATGCACTGATTTTGTACATTACAAGTCAGTGTTCTTGCCAAATTCTCGCAACCAGTGTAGACAGGCGGCAAGTTTTTGCACAAAAGTGGCTGCTTTTGCGCAAAATCTTGCCAGTCTAGACGCACCCCCTTATGTTTAAGCAACTGGGTTAGAAATGTTAACACTGTTAATGAAAGTTACCAGGATATACTGAAAACCAAGACATTCTACATACCCATCAATTAGAGGGGCTTGCTTCATCAGCTTAACAGCCCTTTCTCTTTCTGGTTTATCAGTTCCGAAAACCAAACCATCAGCAATGAGCAGCAAGAGCCAAAGGAATAGCTTGAGAGGATCACTCTTCATTTCCACAAGGATGTTAACTGGAGAAGAAGGTTGCCACCATGGAACGTTGGTTATGAAGAAGAGAAAACAAATTTCCGGTCTGCAAAGGTTTGAGCTGCTGTAACTCTGTTGTTGGTCAGGCACAGGAGAAGAAAGTTCTGGAGAAAACAAAAGTAATGAACAAAGCAAGAAAGGAGAGTAGAGGTGGATGATGTCCTGGTAACCAATTCCCTTTTTTTCTAAGCAAGAGATTAAGACTTCTGAAGGCTGTTCAAAAGTTGAGCAGTAGATATTTGCATTTATACCTCCTGTCTGAACATTGTTATTGCCAGTTGAAGTTAAACTTGTTTACCCATTTTGCAGGTGGAGGAAATAGGCCTCATTTTGCATCGACTAGTAATGACATGTTCAAAGTGTGTAACTAAAGCTATGTATCTAGTTATCCATTTGAATGTGAAATTAACTGATCTACAGGTACAAATAGGCTGGTTTCCTCAATTTTGAAACTTTCAATGACATTGTTGACAAAAATTCCAAGTCTCAAATTTCAAATTTCACTTGAAAGCAGGCTCTTTATTGTATACAAATAAAGCTGCTGCAATAACTGAAGCAATAAACCCATTGTATGGAGTGGATTTTCAATCTGGATGCAACACTTCCATTATGAAATAATTTGAGTAATCAGAGCACAATCTGAAATGATTAATTTGTTCTTTTCAATTGATTTCCATTCAGAAGAGTTTAGCAAGAAATTCTTTTATGAAATAAAGTGAGCATTCTTCCCTGCCTTCTTTAGAGCAGTAATAGAGATGTAGACATGTTAGTCTGGTCTTGCTGAAACAAAAGACAGGACTATGCAGCACTTTAAAGACTAACAAAATGGTTTATTAGTTTAGGACCATCATTGGACCTACTCATTTCAGTCACAAGATCAAGAATACATATTCCTGCTCATCCAGAAATATAATTTATGCCATTATGCGCCAACAGTGTCCGTCTGCTATATATATTGGACAAACTTCTCAGGGTATGTCTACACTACCACCCTACTTCAAACTAGGGTGGTAATGTAGGCAACCGGAGTTGCAAATGAAGCCCGGGATTTGAATTTCCCGGGCTTCATTTGCATAAAGCCGGGCGCCGCCATTTTTAAATGTCCGCTAGTGCGGACTCCGTGCCGCGCAGCTACACGCAGCACGGACTAGGTAGTTCGGACTAGGAAGTCTAGTCCGAACTACCGTTACTCCTCGTTTCACGTTTCACGTGGCACGGAGTCCGCACTAGCGGACATTTAAAAATGGTGGCTTTATGCAAATGAAGCCCGGGAAATTCAAATCCCGGGTTTCATTTGCAACTCCGGTTGCCTACATTACCACCCTAGTTCGAACTAGGGTGGTAGTGTAGACATACCCTCAGACACTTCGCCAAAAAATCAATGCACACAAAACAGACATCAGACAGCTTCACACTGAAAAAACAGTTTCTTGCCATTTCAACCAGACTGGGCATTGTCTCAATTACCTCACTACATGCATCCTGCTTTAAATAGACTTTAACAAAAGACTACAAAGGGAAGCCTCTAAACTGTCATTCATGCTTAAATTTGACACTTTACGAATGGGCCTTAACAAAGATGCTAATTATCTTACCCATTACAAAGATAGCTTCCCCAATTATCACCCCTAATATCATTATCTCATAGACACTAACCTCTCCCCTCATCCCCCCTCTGTTCTAAAATCTGATTTGTCAATTTTATACGTGTTCATTTTTTTTATTGTATCCCTTTGGTATACATGGTCATGACAAATTTCTTCCACAATTTGATCTGAGGGGTGAGTCTGGCCCACGAAAGCTCATCATGTAATAAACCATCTTGTTAGTCTTTAAAGTACTGCATAGTCCTGTCTTTTGTTTCTGTAGAGCAGTCTAGATAACTGTTATACGTAAGCACTTCTATGGCATCTTTTAAAAGCATTTTACAACCATTAATGATACCTGACAGTATGATGTAAATATTAAACTGGGTAGCAGATGAAGATGACATCCTAAGGAGAAACTGATTTTTTCCAGAATTAAAGTCAATGGCGGAGCTATGAATAAAAACCAAAAGGTTCCTCCTGACTACTATTCCCTGTTCCAACAATACCTCCTGTAGGGATTCAGATACTAGTAATGACACAGCTGTGTAATTTTAACCTCATATGCCTGCATTGATAACCATGGGCATTCCAATAAATTATGAGTCAAACCCCAAAAGAGTATGAATTTAAAAAAAAACACACAGTTTTTATTTGCCTTCCGGTCTGTGAGCCTTTATTTTTTTCGTATTCTCATTCCTTTCTCCATAACCAAGAAAGTTAGAAACAGCTCTCACTAACAGTGTTTTCATGTAATCTCATGATTAAGGCACCTGTGGCTCTAAAACAAGGCTACTCAACACACGGCCTGCCTGCGGCCCATTTGTTTGCGGCCCGTTGTGTGATTTGGGTTTACAGTGCGGTTGAGGTTGATATGTGTTTCAGTAGTTAAATTCCTGGACTGTCATTGCTCATTAAAAGTGCTGTTATATGGGTGGAAATCGGGTAAATATTGCATTTTATTAATATCAGCAGAACTGACTTAAATGGGGCCTGTGTGTTGTGTAGTCTTTGTATTCATGTCTGTTAGTGTGAAAGAAACTATTTGCATATATATTTGCATATATATTTGCATGTACATGCAGCCACACTTAAGTTGCAGCCCTCAGCATATGCTGTGAGTATCATTGTGGCCCCCAGGCTTCCAAAGTTGGGTAGCCCTGCTCTAAAAGAAACCCAGCCACTTGTTGGGGGACATATGATAAAATCATCTGGATTGATAACAGATTTGGGCTTGATGTAGGAATTACCAGACGGGCTGTAAATTGTGCAGAGAAACACACAACGTAAGAGCTGTCTTACTAGGTCAGAACAATGGTCCATCTAACCTAATTAGTGACCAATCCCAGAGCTGCAGGGGGAGCACACTGAAGAGAGAAGTTTTTGAGACGTCCACCTGATTTTACCCTCCTAGTTTCTGGCAGTCAGAGGTATAGGGCAAGGTTCCCTCTAAGCTGTGCAGTAGCAACTGCCCCGCAGCTGCTTAATATGCCCCAGCCAGCCCTGCCCAGGGTTCCGCACATGGAACTCCCTGACTGGGGAAGGGGCACTTCTCCCTCAGTGAAAGCAGCAGCTCCCTGCTAAGGACAGAGCAGTGTGTCTCTCTTAGCCAGTAGGAACACGTCCATCCCTGGCCCTCTTTGCCCACAGCCAATTATGGACCTGTCTTCCAGGAACTTATCTAGTTCTTTTTTTTTTTAATCGTTTTACTTTTGGCTATCACAATGACTTCCACAAGTTAATTGTGGATTATGAGAAAAAGCATTTCCTTTTGTTTTTATTTAACCCACTGCACTATTAATTATATTGAGTTTCCTGTGGTTTAAACAACACTTCTCTATTCACTGATGATTTCATAGATATCTATCACATCCCCTTAATCATCTCGTTTCTAAGATAAACAGCCCTAATCCTTTTAGTCTTGCCTCATCTACTCAAACTAGTTAGTGATCTCTCCTGGTCTGAAAATGTCAGTTATTGTAATCGAAAAGTTAAATAAAAAAATTGTACTTGATGCATTTGATGGTATTATGTGACTGTCTAAACCACTCTCCCCTGCACAGTCTGTTTACCCTTTATGTAGGCCTCCCATAACAATGGGGGAGAGACACTCTTATTAACAAATTAACAATGATAAAACCACAGAAACCGGAGACCAGAGACAGCTGCAGACCCTGACATGAGCCCCTATTCCACGTCTACACAGCGCCTATTTTGAAATAGCAATTTGAAATAGGCGGTATTCCTTGTGGAATGAGGTTTACCAAGTTTGAAATAAGCCGAATTAATTTCAAAATAGCAGTTGGCTTGTGTAGATGCTAGTACAGTTATTTCAAAATAACGGCTGTTATTTTGAAATAATTTTGCGGTGTAGACATACCCTAACTTGATAGTAGCTTAGTTAGAACTTTTAAAATCTCTAAGTTAACCCAGCACTATCTCTTAAAATATGTCTTCTCTCCTTAAATCAAAAGAATTATACAGATATTAAAATAAAAATCCTTTTGAAAGCACATTGTGGGAGTCACATTTTATTCTTTCCACATTCTTTCACTAGATTTCTACAGAACATAGAGCAATATTATGATAGTTCAGCACCAACTTTTCCAGAACAACAACTGGTAGTCTCCCCTGAACTTCCAAAACCAAATTCCATGCAGAAAAAGATTATGCGTGGAAACTATTCTGAATATTACCTTTAGGTCCACTAGTCCTTTGGGCTTTCTTGGAAAGATGCCAGTTTCTGTTCTGATAATTTTCTTTGGCAGTTTTCAAGTGTGTTTTTCCTTTGGAGGACTAGCACAGTTCTTATTCATACTAGAACTGTACAGCAAAGACAAACTTGCAGGCACTTGGAAAGCTGCCAAACATGTTGATGTGACGATACTACAATATGTGCAACTGAAAAACATGCTTATTGGAAACAGAATGCCGGGTGAAGAACATTTTAACCCTCAACTCCCAGCAGATCAATCTTACCATGACCGCCTGGTCCAGGATAGCAGCTATGGGACTCTGTCAAGTGACATTAGCTCCCAGACCAACCAAACGCAACCTGGTTGCTGCCCAGAAAAAAACCAAGCCAATCTGTGTTTAACAACCTGTATATAATGCCACCACGTTTCTATTGATTAAAACCCAGGCACTGTTCCTTCTGTGAGCACCCAACTCTGTTCACGTTACTCACAGGAGTAGCTCCCGCTGTTCTCTTCTCTGCATTCCAGTTTTAAAGAACTCCCACTGGCAGATTCTGAGCAGGGCTGTCAGCGATCAATCAACATGGGTGGTTGGTGAAGGCAGGATTCGGGAAGGCAAGCCCCCAGTCCTGCCTCCAGCCTGCCCCTTTTGCTGAGACCCCGCCCCTTTCCTGCCTTCCACAGGGAGGTGGGGCGGCGTGCGCATGCTCCCCCTTCTTCCAAGCACAGGGAGGGGAGGAGAGCGGGCAGGCATATGCTCACCCCAGCCTCCTTAGCCCCAGAGGGTGCGACGTGCGACCCAGCTTCTCCAGCCCTGGAGCA